CCGGGAGGGCGCAGATTTCCTCATCCCCAGAGCCGGGGACGAGGCCGATACCGAGGGGTGAAAAGTCCTCGTCGGACAGAACCCCCGGCTGCGGCAGCTCCGTGCGCTGCCCGAAGGCTCCGGCAATTGACGGCGAGGCGAAAGCAGCCCGACTGTCATCACCCGGCAGATAAACGGCCGGATCCCCGACGGCAGGGTGGCTCCTATTCACGGCTCATCAACGCCGAGCCAAGGGAGCAGTGGGAGGATAAGCCCCGCTTTCAGGAACCAGCGCTCCAAACCACTCATCACTGTCACCGAGCTCGCTCATGCCTTGGCCCTAAACACCGGCGATTAATGAAAGTTTACTCTCGCTTTTTTTCCAAAGTTACACTCAGTCCGCGGGCCGGGGAAAACCCGAGTGGGATCCGTTCTGCGGGATGCTCCAGCGCTCTTCAGCCTGCGCGCTTCTCCGTGGCTCCTCTTCCCCCCAAGAAAACCTGCTCTTTTTTCCCCCCAAGAAAAGCTGCTCTTTTTTCCCCCAAGAAAAGCTGCCAACCACGACGGAGACGAGGGAGAAGCGAATCCCGAGCCCGCTCCCGACGGAGCCGGGCGGCCCCGACGGCGGCGGCTCAGAGCCCCGTGCGAGGCCGGGGGAAAGCCAGAACCGAGCCTCGGCCGCGTGGGTTGGCACAGATTTACTGACTGGAGAGGAAACTCACCGGTTTACACTGCTGAGAAGGGTTTGAATGGATGAGTACTGAGAAAAAAATTGCCGAATTTGGCCAGTAACAAGGCTGGAAGAGTGGAAGGCTAATACTGAGTTATGCATGGACTCGGGAGGAATTACACAGCATCAGAGTCTTGCTTCTAAACAGCGACAGCGCCAAATTTCTAATAACTGTGTAATATGCTTATTTATACCATACAAGGACTTACAAACCTCATTGTGCATAGCAGCTGGGTCATATTTCTTTACCCTTCCATTCCTCAGGCTCTTTTGCCAAGAGACTGGTACCAAACACTTCTAGGCTAAAAGGAAAACACAAAATTTAATCGCAAAGAAACGATGACAAGGAAGGGTGGGTAAGATACTGGCTGACGTGCAGCCCTTTAATCTTAAGCATCTGCCTAAAATAGATGCGCTAAGGGGGTATTGGAAATATGCACGGTTTGAAATGCAAGTGATTCTCTGCTTCTAAATCGTTCAGCCCAATTATCCACATGTATTTCCCTGACCTGGGCACGTTTGTAGGCTCTAAGGCTTTGTTTTAAACTGTTAAGTAAATATTTTAACGAATGTTTTAAAACGTTGTAAACGAATGTGCTGCTCAGTCTCGCACCAATCTCCGCTGGAACCGGGTAAATCAAACGAAGAACCATATTTCGATTTGTTTTTAAATATTTTGGGGTGGGGTATTTGATAATTTTATTCCAGCGTACCAAGTGTACTCACCCCTCGTAATTTCAAACAAAGCTATGCAAAATGGCAGCCCGGCTATGTTAAACTTGTATCCAGAAATAATTAAACTATGAACAAATATTCACGTATGTAGACATTTTTTAAGTTTAAGTATTTTAGAAATAAAAGCTAACAATCGTGGAATTGGTTTAATTGTTAAAACTTACCCTAATTTTGTCCAAATGCTCTGGATTTTTATTTTTGAATATGCTCATTTTCAAACCATTTTTTAAAGTAGCATCTAAAAAACTAACATTTCAAATCAACTGCACGTTTTTTGAGGGAAGAGATTTTACCATGAGCTTGGCAAAGTCTTTGTAAGAATGAACAGTCCAGAGATCACTGCCCTGGTGAGCGTCAGACTGAGAAAGTCCCCAGTGGTACTTCCCAGCCAAAGCTGATTTAACTTCAAGATTTACATATATACATAAAAAAAAAAAAAAGTCAAAAAAAGAGGCAGCTCAATCTATTTTGCAATAACTTTTTTTTTTATTTTAATGAAAGGAGCCCTAAAGCTACAACTTGCTGGAGCTGGAATGGGAATGAAGGTTTAAAAAATAAAAGGAGAACAAAGCCCAGTGCTCAGAGTGTGGTGATTTCTCTGCAGCCTGGTTTGCAGTGCCACAGCAGCCCCAGCACTGCTTCCTGCAGCCA